TGGCCCAGAGATCTAGGGGCTGGTGTCAGGAAGAGGACTCTTTCCACCTGGTGCTCTGTGACAACCTACAGGGGAGACATGGGGTGGGAGATGGAGGGAGGTTCAAGGCAGAGGGGACCTATGTATACCCATGGCTGATTCATGTTGATGTACGCAGAAACCAACACAGCATTGTAAACCAATTATCCTCCAATTAAAAATAAACACATTGTAGAAGAAGAATAATAAATAGAAAAGAAGAGGGCTGGCAGGGAGCACAGAGGAAAAAGGCAGGCCTGGCTGGAGCCTGGAGATAGATGGTCTCGCTCTTCACTGGCTGGTGTAGGATGGGCCTGGGAGCTGAGGTGTGAGGCGGGCCAGTGACACACAGCCCCGCCCACCAGGGGAGAAGCCAGCCTGATCCTAATCAGAAGAGACGCCCCTTCCCAGACCCCTCACACCTCTGTCTTCCCCTCCCAGCTCACTGCTCTCCCTCCCCTCTCTTGCCAACCCCTCCCTGCCTAAGATCTCCAGCTGCCCCTGCTGATTTTATAAATGGCCCTGGCAGGAGGTGGGCACCTTGGCTAATTGAATCAGCGCCCACAAGGCAGGAGGCTGGTTAGCATCACGGCTGAAAGGTGGTGGCAGCAACAGCTTGAGCGCAGCCAGCAGGGAGGAGGCTGAGAGAGCAGAGAGGCCTCGACAATCTGGGTCCGAGTTTATTCTGAAGCCCCAAGGTGGGAATTCACCAGAGGTCCTTGGTCACGCCAGCATAGCCTGGGAGCAGGCTTATGGGATGGACCAGAAGCCAACAAGTGCATGTGTACACACACACACACACACACACACACACACACACACCCCACATATTGGTCCTATGCTCTGGATAAAAAAAGGGAGGCAAAGAGGAAAACAAAGAAACAGCAATGATATGGAATATTTGTGTGTGTGTGCACATAGTTATACCTCTCTATGTATACATCTCTATGTATACCGGCTCTTTGTCTGACTCTTTGTGACCCCACGGACTCGGACTGTAGGCCATCAGGTTCCTCTGTCTATGGGACCTCCAGGCAAGAATCCTGGAGTGGGTTGCCATTTTCTTCTCCAGGGGATCTCCTCAACCCCAGGGATTGAACCTAGGTCTCCTGCATCAAGGCCGGATTCTTTACAGACTGAGCCCCCAGGGAAGCCCACGCTGGGCACCAGTCATGATGCCATTCTTACCCGCCCTGACATCACCTCTGCACAGTAATTAGTAGATAAGAACAGCCTCTAAGGGCCTTGGTCATGCAGCACATCTCATGGTGCTGGCAGCGTCACGGAGTTGCCTCTTGGTCCGCTTCGAGACCAGGCTGTTTCCTCATCTATGAATTTGCTCCTTGACAACAGGCTGCTAGAGAAATACTTTAAGACGGGCTTCACCTTTGTGTTTCTGTTTGCAGAGATTCATCCCTGAGGCTCACGCCTGCATGAAGCCATCCCTGTACAACCGCTCTGCTCAGGAGCCACACACGTGCAGAGAGGGGCTGGTCCATAGTGGCAACTAGGGAACAAGGCCCAAGTCCAAGGTGACGGCGCCACTGGGGATGGGCTGACCCGGCTCTGTGGAGGACCTGCCGCATCTGGTCACATCTGAGAGAGACCCCGTGGGCTTAGTCAGCATTCTCAGGACTCTCCCACTTCCCCAAATGCTCTGCTCCCCTGCCCCCACCAGCTCTCACCCCATCTTTCCCCAGGGCCCCAATCTACCACTTCCCCTTTCGAGCAAAACTAGCTTCAGAAGGAAAAACTCCGAAGTCCCGGGATCTCAGCAGAGGAGAGAGGCCAGGAGAGAAGCAGTTTTCAGCTTGGGGCCCCACACCTCTCAGTGGCTGGGTCCACAGTCCTCCAAGAGGGACTCTGAGGCCCTGAAGGAACCAGCTCTGAAACGCAGATCCTTCCAATTATCCCCCTATTCTTCTGGGCAGTAAATCTTGAAGTTCCTTTCTGCAGGACCAAACCCCCTCGTGGGACTAGGGCTTAAACCCCCAGTGGCCTTTTCCACAGGCCAACACTGCCCCCTGCTGGGCTGAGCTGGGGCGTCTGCCCCAAGTCCTCATGGAAATTGAAAAAGGAGGGACATCCCTGGCGGCTCAGTCAGTAAAGTATTCGCCTGCCAATGCAGGAGACACGGGTTTAACCGCTGGGAGAGGAGAAGGAAATGGCAACTCACTCCAGAATTCTTGCCTGGGAAATCCCATGGACAGAGGAGCCTGGCAGCTACAGTCCATGGGGTCATAAGAGTCAGACACAACTTAGCAACCAAACCCCACCACCATCCTTGCCTAAGAACACCCTAGCTCCCACTCCTCACCTGGAAAGGGAACTACTGAAACCTTTAGAGGCATTAGGCCTCCTGCATCCCGTGTCTTCTGAGGCTGGGATGTGGTGATGACAGCCGGCTTAGTCCTTTAGTACAGGCAAGAGTCAAGGTTCCTGGGTGGCTTCCCCCTCTGTCTCCAGCCTGCTCACCCATTGCCTCAAATTACTTTAAAAGGGGGCAAAAGCAGGAGCTGGGTCAAAGGTGCCCACAACCCACATGGGAAGTTGGGCAGCCCATTGATCTTTATCTTGCTTCCCTCCCAGCTCTGGAGCCCATTTCCAGCTGCTGCTAGGACCCCTCGAGCTGGATAGAGTAAAACCGTGCATGGGTGAATGGGTGCTCAGCCACTTCAGTTGTATCCAACCCTTTATGACCCCGTGCTCCTCTGTCCCTGGGATTCTTCAGGCAAGAATACTGGAGTGGGTTGTTATGCCCTTCTCCAGAGAGTCAGGCCATCTTAGCCTAAAACTGTCAGAAACTAAGCTCACCTTCTTCCGCAAACCCAAATCTCTCTGCAAAACCCCAATTCTCTGTGTTCCACATCCAATGTGACTCCAAGATCCGCAAGCCCTGGCTCTACCACAGCATTTGGACCCCCAGTCTCTCTGAATTGCCCCTTCCAGTTCAGCTCATTGTGGCCCCAGTCCATCTTCCAAGTAACCCGACAGCTTACTGACCTAACACAGAGCTCTAAAGGATTCTCTGCTTAAAAGCCTCGTTAATGTGATGGCCATGATTGATAATTCTCGAAGCTAATTAATGGATTCATGGGGATTTATTATGCTACTCCTCCCACTTTCGTGTCTGTTTGAAATTTTTTATAATAAAAGTTTTAAAAAATAAAGCCTTGTCATTCCTCCTTCCCCTTTAATTAAGTACAAATTCCTGCACAACAGGGTTAGGATCTGCCTTCTCAACTAGATTGCCCCATGTCCCTTCCATTCTTTTTTATTTATTTATTTTTAATTGGAGGATAATTGCTTAACAATATTGTGTTGGTTACTGCCACACATCAACATGAATCAGCCATAAGTACATATACGTATAGGCTTCCCCGGTGGCTCAGCAGTAAAGAATCTGCCTACAATGCAGGAGACATGGGTTCGATCCCTAGGTTGGGAAGATCCCCTGGAGAAGGGAATGGCAACTCAGTCTAGAATTCTTGTCTGGAAAATCTCATGGACAGAGGAACCCAGCAGACTATAGTCCATAGGGTCGAAAAGAGCTGGACACAACTGAGCCACTTAGCAGGCAGACAGGCATACACATGCCTCCACCCTCTTGAACCTCCCTCCTACCCTCCCTTCCATTCTCAATACAGAACTCTTTCCTGGGCACGTGCATACCTCCCCCAACGCCTTCACTCACATTCTTCTACCAGGATCCTCTTTTCATACCCCTTCCCACCCTTGAAGGGCCACCTTAAGTGCCGTCTTTGATACAAAGCCTTTCTTGGTCCCCCAATGAACAGCTATCTCCCCTGACCTCTACGCCTTGATTCTCCTCTTGTGAAACTTACATCCCCTTTTGTGATAGACATCTGTGTCCTCATCTCAGCCCACCTCTAGATGATAAGCATCATGAGGCGAAGGGAGGCTTTACAAACAGTGCCCCGTAATACTGGCTGAGTTGGCCAGTAGCAGAAACATTCTGACAGCCCTTTCCATGAAAGCAGATTTTGATGAAAGGAGACCGCACAGAGCCTGCAGGGAAATACTGGGTTGGAACATTCGGGCCAACCCAATAAAAACAGAAAGGTCAATGCGGAACTTCAGAACAGGAAGGGCTCTCAGTACCCAAATGGAGAAACTCCCTCAATTTACAGACAAAGAGAGTAAGTCTTAGAAAGGCAAGTGATGAGTCCCGTTTCTACTCTTGCCTGTCTTCCACTCCAGGTTTACACACACGCACAGCTTCCTCACTATTTTTTGGGTGTTGACTCTACCCTAGCAAAGGGTTGAGCATCTTTCCTGGGGTGCCCTGACTTGTGCAGACCTCTACATCTGTGGCCAGACATGGGGACCCAGAGAGGATCCTGCTGCTGGGAGAGGCGGTGTCAATGGTGACCAGTCGAAGCGTCCGCCCCCAGCAGGGCCGTGACTGTCCCATCCCCGCCTCCCACACTCTCAGGTTACACAGAAATATTTCTGAAATGTTTAATGCCACGGAGAAGTCCAAGACTGGCAGACAGCAGCAGCCATCCTCCTGCATGCCTGGGGCCATGGCGGTCGCCTGAAAAGGTGGCCCGCACAGACCGAGGAGCCAGGGCGATTTGCTGACATCCTTTTGTCCTCTAAGTGCCAGAGGCTCCATTTAGGCCAGGGGGTGGGGGGAGCGGGGGAGAAGAGGAAGTGCAGAAGGAGCAGGAGAAGGACGGTCTCCGCAGGGCGCTCTTCCTACCCGCAGATGGTGGCTCAGGCCGCACGCCCTGAAGGGGACAATTCCTCGGACCAGACTAAAGCGGTCAAGCCTAGGGTTCAAGAAGGAGTAGAGCAGGGCTCCTGGGATGTGGTGGCCAGGAGTCACCAGCAGAAGCTGGAAGAGGAGGCCTGCCTGCCCCTCCAGCTCCTCCTCACCAGCCTCTAACTTTGGCCCCGCACGCACAGGACTTGCCAGCACTGGCGTCCCATGAGGATCGCATCTCCTCCGCGCTCCATCACTTTGGGCCTTTCTTAAGTACGACATTGTCATACTCGGTCCCCTGTGGCCAGCCAGAGGCGGTGATGTCCTGTCCCGCTATGTAGCCATGGTTGAGGCCGCTGGAGTCCCTGTCGGCTGTGGCCTGCCTCCTCCAGGCATCGCCCCGGGGCTCCTGCGGGCTGTCATACAGGGCCAGGATGGCCATCCCCTCGGGCTCATCATATATGTGGTCGGGTCGTGGGTGCGGGTGGTCCTCGATGCTGTCGTACAGAGGGTCGGCCGGGGGCTGGGGAGGGACGGCCAGGATGCCCCTCAAGCTCTTCCCGAGGCTCCGGGCCACGGCATCGAAGGGCACGGCGTACTCCCCCTCCAGTCCGCGCTGCTGCCGGGGAGCCGGCACCGGGACGGTGGGCGACGGTGGTGGCAGCGAGTCATGGGGTCGGGCGTAGGGGCTCTCCGGCCGGGGCAGCACTGCGGGGACAGGGACTGGCTGGGCCTGGGGCCCAGCAGGGGCAGCATTCTTCTGGGCAGAGATGGCCTCTTCCAGGGCCAGGAAGATCTCATTGCCTTGCCTGGTTTCGAGCTCAAAGTTGCCCTCTCCTGAGACGCAGCGCCGGCCAGCCTCAAAGGAGAAGGTTACCTGGGTGGGGAAGAAAGCCTATTACTGGGAGGCCAGCTGCTCCCATACCCAGTTTCCAATCACAAACATGTCACCTCCAACTCCCCTCCGACCAGCGAGCTGCTTGGCCTTCTCCCCAAGCTGCTTCCTCTCCCTCCCTCCGAGTCTTTTTTTACAAACTAATCCCTCTCCTTTTCTGTCTTCCTTCCATCCATCTGAGTATGACGATTGGCACAGAGTTCAACCTCCGCACGGCCCACTACCCCCTACCCAGGTCTTCCTCTTTCCTTCTCCCTCACCTCCGCCTCCACGTCTCCCTCCCCGGGTTCTCTCCTGCAGCCCCTGGGCTGGGCTGATTTTCTTCTGCCAGCCTTTATCTCATCTTTTCTCCCTCCTCCATTCCCTCCTCCTTTGAGGGCACCTTGGCCCTCTCCCTGACACTCTCTTTTCTCTCCTAGTTCATCCTTCCTCTGCCCTACCCCCACAGCCCCTGCTCACCTTATCCCGCCCAAAGCGCCGCAGGAACCTGTAAGGCCATTCATAGAGCTGGGTGCCCGACTCGGGGCCGCCCCACAGCTCCAGGGCACTCTCCCCAACCCGGAGGGTGTAGGATCCGCGGAGCCGGCACCTCTCACTGACTTCTGTGGGTCTTATGGTCACAGCAAACTCCTTTCGGGGGGTCCCTGGGGAGGAGACACTGTTCATGGGGGAGAACAGCCAACCTCTTTCAATTCTGTGTGCCTGCATGTTCAGTCACTCAGTTGTGTCCGAATCTTTGCTATCCCATGGACTATAACCCGCCATGCTCCTCTGTCCATGGGATTCTCCAGGCAAGAATACTGGAGTGGGTTGCCATTTCCTTGTCCATGGGATCTTCCTAACCCAGGGATCAACTTGGGTCTCCAGCGTTTCTGGCATTAGCAGGTGGATTATTCACCACCGCTCTAAATAAGCAGGCCAGGACTCCAGAAGAAAAGTATTATCAGTGGCCCACGGCCCTGGTGCCTGCGTTCTGAAGGCTTAGCTGCCCTGTGCCAGGTCAGACTCCCCAAGATGCCAGGAGCCCCCACCCCCTCCCCCAGGAGGCATCGTGCCCTAGCGACGAGCACCCTGACTCCTCTGCGGCCACATCCTTCCTGCTCCCGTCGCCAGTCACAGCTCTGTCTCCTCCATCTCATTGCTCGCCCCAACCCAGCTGCCTCCGCATCCCTCCTGCCACACCTCCCCAGCTCTCCCTGCCTGCCCACCCTCTGCCGAGGCCACGGGGGTCAGGTGGGGGGCCTCCCGAGGGGTGGAGCCTGGATGCACCCCTTGCCCTGTGTCTTCCTGCTCCCCACAGGCAGCCCCCAGAGGGCTAGACAAGAGGACAGGAGGGCGACTGCCTTGTCAGCAAAAAACTCCCTTGGTGCAGGACACCTTAGATACACAGAAAGGAAACCATTCTTTTCACAGACGATTGCTCAGGTCCCATCAAGGGAGAATTCCAGACCAACATTTTCACCTGGGTCCCTCAGGCAGGCCCTTTGCCACCAAAGGGGCATGGATCAGAGAGAGTGGGCCAAGGGCGAAGGGCTGACATTTAAGTCAGGCCGGCCTCCCCAACCTTGAGCCGAGCCGGAAGCGATGAGGAGCAGCTGATAAGGGGCTGGCTGGGGCCAGGGGCAACCACAAGGCAGGAAGACTGGGCCGGCTGCTAGCCAGCCCTCACCTCCTCCCCACCACGCCCTCGAGAGAGCAGCCTAGAGAGAAGCAGGGGCCCCCCTCACCTGCGGTCGCGCTGCTGTACAGTTCATTCTCCTCCATGCGGGGCCGGCCACCCTTCCCCTCCAGCCCTGACTGCTCCTTCCGCTGACCCTGGGGAGAAGGCCCAACGTTCACCACCATCGCCATCTCCAGCCCCACCTCTGGCCACCCTAAGCTTTCTTGCCAAATGCACTCAGTCTGCCGCCCCACCCCCAACCCCCCCATCTTTATTCTGAAATGGGATCCACACCCCACCAAAGAACCACCCTCAGCATCCTGACCTTGACTCCCACAACACCTGCCCTCGGCAGGCACCCGGTGCCCCACATCCTCTCTGCAGCCCTGGCCGACTCACGGGGAAGGCCAGGAGGCAGATGGCCTGTATCCAGTCGCCACGCTCGGCGGTGGGGGCGGCCAGCAGGTACAGGCGTTCCGTGGTCTCCAGGAAGAAGCTGCTGGTGTCCCGGGGGCTGCTGGCCTCCCCGCTGGCTTCGGACACCCGCAGGCAGTCATTGAGGCGGATGACCCTCCGGGGGGCCTCTCCCCGGCGCGACTTCTCCGAGCCCTCCTGGAGCTCCAGCCGGGCCAATGCACAGCCTGAACCTCCATACAGTGCAGCCCCGAACCGGCGCCATTTCTGCCCCCAGATGGAGAGACGATGACCAGCAGGGAGAGGAGGACCCCAGGGGGAGATAAAGGGGAAGATCACAGGAGACCCAAGGAGGCAGAGGGCCTAACACGGGCCTTAAGAGTTAGCATGCGTTGAAGATGCACCTCAAGTGACCCAGAAAGAGGCCTCCAGTGACAGCAGGGAGGAAGCCGGAGGCAAAAAAAAAAAAAAGGCTTGGGGTGAGCCCCATGAAGACAACTACAGGGAGACTGGGCAAGCTCAATGCAGGGAATCCCAGAGGAGAGGCAGAAAGCATGTGAGTCCTGAAGCCCAGAGGGGGTGAGGAGGGCAGCCTGAGAACCCAGACTGGGGAGCTCCTCTTTCTGCATGAGGCCCCACAGAAGGCCCTCTCCCCAGGAACTTGCTGACTCTCCTAAACCTTCCTGACTCATGCCCTGAGGCCATGAGGGGGACAGAGAGAGAGAGAGGAACCCTGGGGTGGGTCCCCTGAGGGAAGGAGGACTTCCCTATTCAAAGAGGCCAAAAGAATTAAAAGGAGTTTAGACACAATGGGGCCCTGGCTCCCAGAGACCCCGGCTCAAGTTCAAAAGCAGCCAAACGCACCCCACTGGGCAGGAAAGGAGGAAGGAACCTCCAGGGTCATCCCGAATTATCCCCTCCACTGTGCTGTCCAGTCCCTCCCAATGTGTCCCAGTGAGGAGAAGCCGGCAGAACAAGAGTCAGAGTCCTCTGGTACCCCTCCTCCTGGGGTCACGGCTGTCAGCAAAGGCCATGATGTGGCGGCTGCTAAGGAAGGAGCCCTCCCAAGCTTGTGTTCTGCGCCCAGTGTGGTAGATGGCAGTCTCCATTAGCCCATAAGGGATCTGGAACATTCCAGGGCCTCCTCTCCTCTCCCGGGAGTCTCTAGCACCCCACCCTCCACCACCTCTCAGCCCAGCCCCCGACCAGCGGTGCTCTTCCTACCTTCCCGAAAGTCTGCTGCTGCTGGAGGTACAGGCAGCCCTGCTTCACCAGCACGTCCTCCATCCTCGCGGCATCCCGGGGCCCCTGGGCACCCGCTCTCCCCTTCCACACCCACCCTCTCTCGCTCCTCTCTGCCCTATGTTCCCCCTTCTCTCAAGTTCATTTCCTCTCTGCCCAGAGTTTTCTGCACTATTCTCGTCTGCTCGATGACGACAGGCCGATAGGCCCTGTGGTTTCTTGCTCTGTGTGTGTGTGTGTGTGTGTGTGTGTGTTTCTTTTCTTTTTGACGAGTGGGTTTCACATTCAAGCTTCCTGCATTTTCAGTGAGTAAGAGAGAATTTCCAAAAAGCCCAACTCCAGTGTTTCACTGAACACAGCTCAGGGACAGAGGCCAGCGGGGAGAAGTCAGCAACACAGGGAGGCTGACCCTCTGGAACAGAGGCCCAGAAACAAAAATTTGACAGTAAAACCGGGAGCTGAAGGCTCCACCATGCTCAGGCTGATGGTTAGCATGATGCAGCTAGGAGAGACCTGAGAAATGAGCCAGCCCAACATCCTCATTCAAAAACGAGGAGACTGAGGCTCAAGGAAGGGCTGAGGGATGGGTTCCAGGCCACCAAACAGGAAACCAGGCCTCTCAACTCAGCAGGCGCTGAGCCACACAGGCATGCTGGGACGCTAGCCTCGGTAAGTTCACACGCTCTGCTGAAATGGTTTCCCTCTGCGGGGACATTCCCTGTCCCCCACGACACACACACACACCACCTCCTGAGCTTCTAGAAACATGAATGTCTCCACACTGAAGCAAGCTACACTCCCCAAGCACATCTCAACTGTCGGAGTCCACCTTCTTTCCAGCCTTTGTGAGCATTGTAAAGACACTTGAATTCTATCTGGAGGTTATCTTTTAAGTTACAATAGCAAACTCTCATATTAAAAAAAAAAAAAAAAAACCTCTCATAGTTATCAAATGTGCTTCACAGTTACCAAAGGTTCCAGGTCCACACAGTCTCCAGACACACTTTCTACCCTTGGAAGAAGGAAGGGCAGGTGTGAACCCACCTGTTTGCAAGTTTCCTAAAGTCAAAAGGCCAGAGGAGGAAGTACCAGGGTACCTGATCTTTTAATTTAACAGTCTTTTTACTGCTGACCTCAAGGATGCTGCAAGGACAGGGAAGCCTGGTGGGCTGCAGTCGATGGGGTCAGAGTCAGACACGACTGAGTGATTGAACAACAACAGATGGTAAAGAACCTGCCTGCCAGTTCAGGAGAAAAAAGAGGCGTGAGTTGGATCCCTGGGTCTGGAAGATCCCCTGGAGGAGGGCATGGCAACCCACTCCAGTATTCTTGCCTAGAAAATTCCATGGACAGGAGAGCCTGGTGGGCTACAGTCCATGGGACCACAAGAGTCAGACACAACTGAAGCAGTTTAGCATGCAAACGAAGTCTAGACTCCATGCAAGAAGATACATGGCTTAGGGGAAATCTAAGTGCCTCAGAGAATATCTAACTGGGCCAGATGGTTTAGAGAAGCAATCCTACAGAGGCATGGTGCGGAAACACTGGGAAAACCAGAGACTAGACGAGCACTCTTGGGATAACCCCATAATGGGTGTTTATGTAACGGAGCCACGTCCTATACCGCAGGGGTTCGGTCGTCTTGGGAAGAAGAGCAGAGCAGCTCAGACCTTCTGCTGCACATGCCACGTGCTTCACCAAAACAGCTCAAACCATGAGCATTATGGGCTCTGGGCGGAGAGGACTGAGACACATAAAGCTGGATTTGAACAGGTGGATCCAGAAACCAAAGGGGAACCAAGGATGCTGGTGAGGGGGGAAAACGCCTTGAGACGGGGTTAAGAGCATGGAAGTAGGTGGCTTATTCCATCTCTCTGGGCTTCCCTGGTGGCTCAGTAGTAAAGAAACCACCTACCAATGAAGGAGACATGAGCTGGATCCCTGGAGTAGGAAATGGCAACCCGCTCCGGTATTCTTGCCTGGAGAATTCCATGGATAGAGGAGCCTGGCGAGCTACAGTCCATGGGGTTGCAAAAGAGTCGGACTTGACTTAGTGACGGAACAACAGCAATTCCATTTCTCCAGCCGCTTAGGGGAGGCAACATTACACAGGGGCTGCATGGACTGTGGATGACTCAGCATCTCCTTAGGGAGTGAGAAAAGAAGGGCTTCTAAGGCCATCCTGGGGGCTGTCAGAGCAGTGCCTTTCAAACAATAATGTGCAAACCTGGTTAAAACTGCAGATTCAGATGCAGTAGGCCTGGCATAAGACCTGAGATGCTCAAGTCGCTGGTGGGTGGACCAGACCTGGACTGAGTAGCCAGAAAACAAAGGATCCTCCCCTCCACCTCTCTGATCACCTTCCCCAAAGGTCAACTGGACGCATTCCACTCAGAACCACAGGGGGGAGCCCGAGCTTGCCAGATTACTTGGAAACTATTTAATCTCTGGTGGCTCAGACCCAAAGGAATCGGTCTGCAATGCAGGAAACCTAGGTTCGATCCCTGGCCTGGGAAGATCCCCTGGAGGAAGGCATGGCAAGCCCCTCCAGTATTCTTGTCTGGAGAATCCCCATGGACCGAGGAGCCTGGAGGACTATAGGCCATGGGGTCGCAAGGAGTCCGTCACGACTGAGAGACTAAACACAGCACACATTTAAACCTGGAGGCCTGAGCCCCAGGAACTTCAGATACCCCGCCCCTCCCCCCATGCCATCCCTTGCCTATGGGAGCAGGAAAAGTTATTTTCCTGTGGCTGTTTTCCGCAGGCGTGAACTCAGAGCAACCCCCACTCTTCCTGGTAGGACTTGTGGGGACCCTGCAGAGAAAGTACTAACCCCAGTATTTTCTGCCTGGCCACAGGCAAACCCTATGAGCAGGGATCCAAAAGGACACAGCAGAAGGGCAAAGAGCCAGAGGCCCTTAGATGACCCAGGGACCAAAGATAAGGAGAGAAAGCAACAAACGGCATGAGTGGAGGGCGGGGTGCCCCTAGGCTCCTCTTTGCTTTTATTGGCAGGTAAGGGACACCCCACACCTCATTTGTGCCTCAGTATAAGCCACAGGATCCTTTCCTTTACCATGGTCTCTCTCAGCTGGAGTTAGGAACAGATCTGGAGATCAGGGCTCCAAGAATTTGGCAACTTTTTGTTACTATTCTAACCAGTGTTTAGCAACTAAATCTCTAATACAAAAGGACTCTGGGCTTGTGGTTGGGAGCTGGAAAGGAAGGAGCAGAAGAGACTGATTCCTTGGGCAGGGTTAGAGATTAGGAAGCCCCCAGAGGATGAACGGCTGGGGAGGGCTGGAGGGCGAGTGCCACACCAAGGGCAGCTCCGGACGGCAAAGAAGCAACAGCCAAGAAGGTATAGAACGGTGGGCAGGGAGCTGGTGGGGGCCGGAGATGATGGAGGACTGGGCTCAGAAACAAGTTGTGGGGGGGAGTTCAGTCCAGTTCAGTCGTTCAGTCGTGTCCGACTCTTGGCGACCCCATGAACCACGAACCGCAGCACGCCAGGCCTCCCTGTCCATCACCAACTCCTGGAGTAGGGGGGGGAGGGAGTGTTTATAAAAGCAATCCTGTCTTCTCCCACCCCAGTTGTTCCTGTCAGTGGGGGAGGAAGGATCTGTCTCTTGGGTTCCATTCCTAGTCCTCACTCTCCATTAAGTATATCATTATTAACATAATAATATTACTTAACATTGGCATAACACTCCTTAATGTTCAAACTCCTTCATGTTCTCCTGAGAGCCCCAAATGCACCCTAGGATGACACTGAGATAGGAAGAATTTAGGTTAAAAGTTATTTTTTTGAGCATCTCCTCTGTGCAGAGGTAGGAGGGACAGAGCATAAACAAGACATTTGCTGATGTTCAGTTAGTCTTGTCCAACTCTTTGCGACCCAATGGACTGCAGCACGCCAGGCTTCCCTGTCCTTCACTATTTTCCGGAGCTTGCTCAATCTCAGGTCCATCGAGTCGCTGATACCATCCAACCATCTCGTCCTCTGTTGTCCCCTCCCCTGTTTTCATTGCGGTTCCCTTCTCTTTTTAAAAACATTTCTTTACTTGGCTGCGCCAGGTCTTACTGCAGCAGGATCTTGGATCTTCATTACAACATACAAGATCTTTAGTTGCAGCATGCAAACTCTTAGCTGTGGCATGTGGGTTCTAGTTCCCTGACCAGGGATCAAACCCAGGCCCCCTGCAGTGGGAGGATGGATCAGTCACTGGACGGCTGTTACTGAGTCCAAGCTCACTCTGCTCACCACACGACAGGCCAATGAATCCGAGAGACGAGGTGTTGAGGCAAGGAATACGACTTTATTCAGGGAGCCAGCTGATTGAGAAAAAGGTGCCTCAAAATAACCCTCTTGTTCAGGTTTGGATGCCAGGGTCTTTTATAGATCAGAGAGAAAGCAATGAGGAACTAAAGTCAAAAGACAGATTAGAGGGAAAGGCAGAGGGGAAGTAAAGATGTTTGGGTCTTCCATCTTGCAAAACACCTCCAAGGGAATTGGCCAGCCTTGGGAAGGGTTGCTGCGTGTGCTCATGCTCGGTCGTGTCCGACTCTTTGCAATCCCATGGACTGGAGCCCGCCAGGCTCCTCTGTCCATGGGATTTTCCAGGCAAGAATACTGGAGTGAGTTGCCATTTCCTTCTCCGGGGATCTTTTTGTCCCAGGATAGAACTCCCAAGTCACCCGCATTGGAGGCTGATGCTTTACCACTGTTCCACATCTTGAAGATGCTTTGCAAGCCTTGGGAAGGGGTGTGTTCGTCTCCTATTCACAAGTGGGCAGGGACAGATTAGCTCTCAAAGAGCTGAAAAAAGGCACTTTAGTTTACAGTCAAGAAGAGGGGCAGGGTCCTCTAAGGCAAGCTATTAAGTATGATTATAATAATAACAAAGTGATCCCCTGGTGGCTCAGATGGTAAAGCCTACAATGCGGGAGACCCCGGTTTGATCCGATCCGTGGGTTGGGAAGATCCTCTGGAGAAGGAAATGGCAACCCACTCCAGTACTCTTGCCTGGAAAATCCCATGGATGGAGGTGCGTGGTAGGCTATAGTCCACGGGGTGCCAAAGAGCGAGCGACTGAGCAACTTCACTTTCACTTTCCATAATAACAAAAGCAACGAAAAGCAAGTCAAAGAAAGTTTCCAACATGGACTCAGTTGGCTTCTCTGCAACACCACCAGGGAAGTTCTTGCATTTTCTTTCTAGCTAGAGACTCAGATGATGAAAAAACTAAATACATAAATAGTTTCAAAGAGACCATGATCAGTGCTGTAAGTATGACAGTGATGGGGGAGGGGACAATTATCTATAGAACTGGTGAGAAAAGCCTCTCTGAGGAGATAACAATTGAACTAAGACACCAGTGATAAGAGGAAACCAGGCACTTAAAGATCTAAGGGGAAAACACTGCAGGCAGAAGTTCCTTCAAGGGCAAAGGCCCCTAGGCAGGAACAGCTGGATGTGAAGAACTACAAGAAGGGCAGAATGACCAGAGCATTGCAAGCCAGAGGGGACTGGGGACAGATGGTCCTATCACATGGCCTTTCAGGCTACAGGAAAGAGTCCGAATGTATTCTAAATGTGATGGGAGACCACTTGAGGATTTTAAAGCAGGGATGTGAATGATCTCATTTATGACATTAAAAGGATGTTCTGCAGCTAAAGGGAACATGGGTTGTCAAGGGGCAAGATCAGAAGCAGAGAAAGCAAGGATTCTATTTATCTGAGCCCAGCAGAAAACTGATGGTGGTCTGGATTAGGGTGTTAGTAATGATGAAGATGAGTGGCCAGATTTGGGTGTGTACTGGACTTGCACATGGACTGGCTATGAGGGACTGTTGAAACACTAAACTATCATTTACTGAAAAGGGGAAGATAGAGGGAGAGAAACAGGTGTGGGGAGGGTTGTTGGTGGGGCAGGATTTGGGTCTGACCCCACAGGGAGCTGTTATTTCTACTCCATCAGGCAAGTAGGGAACTGGAAGACTACCCCATTGCAATCATCACTCCAAGAAGACATCAAGGAAGCACCTGACCCACCACCCCTGCTCTGTACCCTCAGGGAGCTTAGAACTGGATACTGAAATGTTGGAAAACAACAACAGAAAAATCCCACATCTCAAAGGCTAGATTTGTCAGAAGCAACAGTCAAAAGCCCTGTCTCCAAAGTTTTCTCTGAGTGAATCTAATTGGCAGTGAAGCTAAAGGCAAAAGAGAAAAGGAAAGATACCCATCTGAATGCAGAATTCCAAAGAATAGCAAGGAGAGATAAGAAAGCCTTCCTCAGTGATCAATGCAAAGAAATAGAGGAAAGCAATAGACTGGGAAAGTCTAGAGATCTCTTCAAGAAAATTAAAGATATCAAGAGAACATTTCATGCAAAGATGGGCACAATAAAGGACAGAAATGGTATGGACCTAACAGAAGCAGAAGATATTAAGAAGAGGTGGCAAGAATACACAGAAGAACTATACAATAAAGATCGTCATGACCCAGATAATCACAATGGTGTGATCACTCACCTAGAGTCAGACATCCTGGAATGTGAAGTCAAGTGGGCCCTAGGAAGTATCACTATGAACAAAGCTAGTGGAGGTGATGGAATTCCAATTGAGCTATTTCAAATCCAAAAAGATGATGCTGTGAAAGTGCTGCACTTACTATGCCAGCAAAATTGGAAAACTCAGCAGTGGCCACAGGACTGGAAAAGGTCAGTTTTCATTCCAATCCCAAAGAAAGGCAATGCCAAAGGATGTTCAAACTACCACACAATTGCACTCATCTCACATGCTAGCAAAATAATGCTCAAAATTCTCCAAGTCAGGCTCCAACAGTATGTGAACTGTGAACTTCCAGATGTTAAATCTGGACTTAGAAAAGGGAGAGGAACCACAGAGCAAATTGCCAACATCTGCTGGATCATTGAAAAAGCAAGAGAGTTCCAGAAAAACATCTACTTTTGCTTTATTGACTACGCCAAACCCTTTGACACTGTGGATCACAACAAACAATGGAAAATTCTTAAAGAGATGGAAATACCAGACCACCTTACCTGCCCCCTGAGAAATCTGTATCCAGGTCAGGAAGCAACAGTTAGAACTGGACATGGAGTCCATCAGTAGATGAGTGGATAAGAAAGCTGTAATACATATACATAATGGAATATTACCCAGCCATTAAAAAGAATACATCTGAATCAGTTCTAATGAGGTGGATGAAACTGGAGCCTATTATACAGAGTGAAGTAAGCCAGAAAGAAAAACACCAATACAGTATACTAACACATATATATGGAATTTAGAAAGATGGTAACGATAACCCTATATGCAAGATAGCAAAAGAGACACAGATGTATTGAACAGTCTTTTGGACTCTGTGGGAGAGGGCAAGGGCAGGATGATATGGGAGAATGGCATTGAAACATGTAAATTATCATATGTGAAACGAATCGCCAGTCCAGGTTTGATGCATGATACAGGATGCTCGGGGCTGGTGCACTGGGATGACCCAGAGGGATGGGATGGGGAGGGAGGTGGGAGGGCGGTTCAGGATGGGGAGCACACGCACACCCATGGCAGATTCGTGTCAATGTATGGCAAAACCACTACAATGTTGTAAAGTAAAATAAATAAATAAATTATTAAAAATAAATAAATAAAGTTAAATATGTAGAATTAAAAAAAAAAAAGAACTGGACATGGAACAACAGACGGGTTCCAAATCAGGAAAGGAGTACGACAAGGCTGTATATTGTCATCCTGCTTATTTAACTTATATGCAGAGTCCATCATGCAAAATGCTGGACTGGATGAAGGACAAACTGGAATCAAGATTGTCAGGAGAAATATCAATAACCTCAGATATGCAGATGACAGCCCACTTATGGCAGAAAGTGAGGAAGAACTAAAGAGCCTCTTAATGAAAGTTAAAGAGGAGAGTGAAAAAGTTGGCTTAAAACTCAGCAGTCAAAAAACTAAGATCATGGCATCCAGTCCCATCACTTCATGGCAGATAGATGTGGAAACAATGGAAACAGTGACACACTTTATTTTCTTGGGCTTCAAAATCACTGCAGATGGTGATTGCAGCCATGAAATTAAAAGATGCTTGCTCCTTGGAAGAAAAGCTATGACCAACTTGGACAGCATATTAAAAAGCAGAGACATTACTTTCCTGACAAAGGTCTGTCTAGTCAGGCTACGCTTTTCCAGTAGTCATGTATGGATGTGAGAGTTGGACTATAAAGAAAGCTGAGTGCTGAAGAACTGATGCTTTCCTGGTATTGGAGAAGACTCTTGAGAGTCCCTTGTACTGCAAGGAGGTCAAACCAGTCCATCCTAAAGGAAATCAGTCCTGAATATTCATTGGAAGGACTGATGCTGAAGCTAAAACTCTAATACTTTGGCCACCTGATGTGAAGAACTGATTCATTGGAAAAGACCCTGATGCTGGGAAAGATTAAGGGCAGGAGGAGAAGGGGACGACGGAGGATAAGATGGTTGGATGGCATCACTCACTCCATGGACCTGAGTTTGAAAGCAAGCTCAGGGAGTTGGTGATGGACAGGGAAGCCTGGGGTGCTGCAGTCCATGGGGTTGCAAAGAGTCGGACAGGACTGAGCGACTGCACTTAACTTGCATACAGAACCCTGGCTGCAAGGAAGTCTGGGTAATGTAGTTTTTAGGTGTCCTACCTCTGCGAATCAGGAAGACACACTCGGAGGACGACGAAGGTTGAAATGAATGCTGAGCACCAGTCCTCTTGATTCTTAACAGAAAGTGTGTGTGTCATTCACTACTAACATACAACCTATACTCTCAGAATTGAGATAAAATCTAATCCGGGGACCATGACTGGAAGCCAGAGTGGGATCTAATGGAAAACAGGATCTATCTTTCCTAGTGGGAAAGACTGGAATTGGTCTCAGCAGGCAAGGCCTGACCTGACCTCACCCAGAGGGATGGCTTTTCCACAAGACTGAGCCCAGGGGTCCTAAAATCCCTTTATCTCTCCCCGCCACCACCTCCCCCAGCTTCTGACCACTCTTAGGAGGCAGCCTAGACAGCTGATTAAGACGACAATTTATTGGGGAAGATCGGAACCGTGCCTTCTGCGTGTATCCATCATTACCATTACTTGGCGGTTATTTCCATGAATGTTTAGCGTGGAGAAAAGGATTGAAATGAAAACAAGGAGATTTGGGTTGCTGGTAAAACCTAGGATCAGAGAGCAATGACCCCTGTCCACTGGAGCAGAAATCCAGAAGGACACAAATTCGTCGGCAGTGGAAAGTAAAGAATAATGCAGGAGACCTAGGTGGGCGGTGGGCGCACCGGAAGAACCCCCGGGGGTGTGGTGTGGTGTGGTGTGGGGTTACAGCGGTGGCGCGGCCGCAGCCGGGTGAGGGGCGTCGCGGGTTCACTTTCGAAGGGAGGAATCCGTCAGGTGCAGGGTTCTGGGCGGGGACAGGTCCTGGTCCCTCCGGGAGCCCTCGCCAAGCCGATGAGCTAAGGCAGCGCAACCTCCCGCTGCCGCTCTCGCCGGCCCGCCGGAGCGAGCGCGGCCCCTTTAAAAATCATGTAAACAAAGCTTTGTTCCCCCGGCCCCCTCCCCTCGCGCCCCCCGGCCTGCTCCCTCCTCCACCCGCCTCCCGCGTCTCCGGGCCGCTGACGTTGCCGCGCCTTTACGCCGTCCCAACGGCGCTGCGCATTCTCCAACCGCGGCCCCAGCCGCCCGGGCCTGCGCAGCCGGGCGGCGCTACGCCGCGAGCGCAGCGCGACGAGTCCCCAGCGCGCAGGCGCAGCGGCGACGGCGGCGGCGGCGGCGGCCCGGCCGAGGTGCGCGTTGGGGGGGAGGGGGGGCCGCAGAGGAGCATGAATGGAGCAAAATGGCGGATCATGTGCAGGTGAGAGGAGCTGCGGGGGAGGGGGCGGCCGCGGAGAGTGGGGAGTGGGGGCGCGCGCGGCCCGAGGGGCTCGGGCAGGGTCGGGGCTCGCCGGGCCCGCGCCGCCACCACTCGGGGCTCCGGAGACGCCGCCCCGTCCCGGAGCCCTGGGGCCTTTCCCGCCTCCCGGGCCGGGGGCCTCCTCCATCCCCTCCCACCCGGTCCCACGCCTCTCGCGCGGGGCTGGAGGTTCAGGGATCCGCGCCCCGGGGGGCACAGCTTACATCGCTTATCAGTGACTGTCCTCACGCTGGAGGGAGGCCTCCCGCAAGTCCTCAGTGCCCCCCAAGACGGGGGCGGTAGGGAGACCCCTTGCCGACTCTGTCCTGAGGGGTACTTCCCGGTCACACCCGCCGGCCCTAAACAGATAACAAAAAGAATACCTCGCACTGATCAATCTGGCTCTACCGAGTCTTTCCCGCCGCCTTCCTCTTCTCGCCCCCGAACATAAGAGACCCCCTCCCTCCTGCCTCCTTCCCCGCTCCCACAGATTCGCCCATCACTCCCCCACTCCTGATCGCCCAGCCTGCAGGGCCGAGCTCCCCGATCCTCCAAAATGGGTGCTCAGGCCTGGGCCCGCCCTCCCTCCAGTCCCCCTATCCCCAGTGAAGGAGTTGAGTGCCCACACCTCCTCTGAAACGCGGGGTGGAGGGGGTGTGTCTGAATCGAGAGCTGCAACGTTGGGTGCAGACGTTTGCTCTGGAGGGTCCCCATGGGGTTGCAGAGCTGCCCCGGGCGTGCTTTGGGCCCAGGCCACTTTTCTTCAAAGACATGGCACAGGCCCTGGGAAGGGACAGACCCTTAACCGCTCCTAAAGTCTGGGGGAGTCAGGGTTATTTCTTGCAAACTCGATAAAGTTTTTCCTTTCTGTGCCTTAGATCCGATAATTTTATGCCACGGTTATTGTTACAGTTATATTGTCAGAACCCTTTGGATTTTCTAGGTAACCGCACGGGTTTTGTGTTGTGGGGAGTAGAAAGTAGAGAGTATAGCAAGTGTGTCTCCTTATTTTGCATATTGTATAGTTATCATTCCTCAAGTAAAAAGGAGAATCTTCTCACGTTTTGTCTACAAGGAAGTGGGGTGGTGTGGCTTCTGTCAGTTTCTTTGGGAGAGAAGGGACTAAATTAATTCTCAGGCCAGGGATCAGTAGAGTAAATCTTTGAAGGGGGAAGCACAAGTTATCAGGACAGAATTATATAGAAAATTGTAACCACAGATGGAAGACCACAGATTTGTATTTGAAACCCAGTATCAGTAACGTAATTCAGAAGTAGCAATAAAACTTGATACAAGGTGATAGTAATAATATTGTAGTTCCTTGAGTTTTATAGCAACCATTTCTAAGAAGCATGTAGGATTTTTATGTGATTTTTTTTTTTCTTCCATCCTAAAAGAGTAGATAGGCAAGAACTACTTCTGTCATTTTGAGGAAACTGAAGCGTAGAACTAATGTTAGATTTATTTAGGAAGTGGATTGGAGGCTTCTGACTTTGGGTCCCATGCTCTTATCTACTGGGGAAATAAAAAAAATAGTGTCAGAGAGCATTCCAGAATATGGTTTGAATAGATAGCCTTTCCGATGATGCTTTGGAAGACAGGAAGTTCGTGTACTTTTATGAATATACATCTGTCTTATCTCTTGCAAAGAAGTCCCTCTTCGTGTGATCTGTCCCACATTTTGAGTCAAAAAGGTTGTCATTCCTCACCAGAGGAATGTCAGGATGAGTTCAAGCGGTCTTCATAGCACTTACGTCTCAAAGGAGGGTCTGCCTTAGTAAGGAGTTGTTTTTTTTCCCACCCACCCCAACATAAAAATCTACCAAAGTAAGAACTTACTAACTTTTCAAGACAAAGGGCACTAGGCCAGTTCAGTGCTTCATTTTATTTCAGAGAGTTATAGTATGTTACTCTCTAAGTTAGTGGTCTTTTTAACAACCAGATAAGTCCATGAAGGAATTTTTTCTCTTTAAGCTTTTGTTTGTTAGACCACTAGATTACTTTTAGTTTTAGATACTTGTAGACTTAAACATGTACTTTATTGTAGCAGCAAACCGTCTCAAGAAGAAGATAAATTCTCCCTTGTGTGGAATGAGTAAATAAATGAAAAGATTAAGGACAAATCTGAAGTGCTTTGAAGGGCAGTATTTTTCTGAAAACACTATTGGGATATGAAGTTTAAAAAACTCTACCACTGATTCAAGACAGTGATTATTTGAAAGCTTCATGTGTAGTTCTAAATAGTTGAGTCATTATGTAGCTACTGCTTTCCTGAACCACCAGGGTGAGCAGTTTTGTGTTGTTTTTTCTGTTGACACTAAATGTCATATGATTCTTAGGCTGGAGTCCTGAGCATCTCTTCTGATAAGTATTTAATGGAAGTCACAAAGCGATAGTAATGGAAAATTACAGTATTTTGATTTGTCTTTTAGCTCTGTTGATGTCAGTAGTCAAGTCTCTTCAGAAGAGAGACTTGTAAGAACCTTCTCGTTGTGATAAGTTTCTTACTCTTGGTTTTAGAGGACTTTATCTAACAGCCACCAAGGAGGCAGTGATTGTTAAAAAATCAAACTCATTTGTATTTATCTTCCTAAAATGAATGGTCCTCCTTCCATTTTTTAAAAAGCATATTAAGTTAGATGAAGATAATGAGGATTTGTTATTTTCACTTGCTGGGTAGTTATTGTAAAGAAATGAAAGTTAGCTTAGTGTACAGTGGTAACAGAAAAACTAAGAAGGATCATCAGATGTTAGTTTTAATAATGCTAGCTGGTATCCAGGCTCTTGAGAGTAAAAGGAAAATGTATATGATATAATTGGATATTAAGTATATTATTTAACATACAAGTCTATGTAAATATGGGACTTCCCTATAGCTCAGATGGTAAAGAATCCCTCTGCAATGCAGGAGACCCTGGTTCGATCCCTGGGTCAGGAAAATTCCCTGGAGAAGGAAATGGCAACCTACTCCAGTATTCTTGCCTGGAGAATCCCATGGACAGAGGAGCCTGGCAGGCTACAGTCCATGCGGGTGGCAAAGAGTCAGACACAACTAAGTGACTAACACACATGTAAATATATTAAATGAATGATAATTCTGGGGTTTTGTTGGGTTTATTCTATTGTTATCCCAGGTCTTACTCAGACTCTTAGAGTATTATTTACTGATCTCTGCATTATGACTGAGTAGGAACAGAAAATACAGTTTTCACATAGTCATATTTGTTTAAATATTGACCACCACTGTAACTCTAGGGGTCAAGAAGAATCATTAAAACTGGCAGGTTAAAATTTAACAGAGTGCAAAAGTTTAGCCGGTTTAGAGGAAAAGATAGTTGTCTTTTTAGCTTTTAAAAACATGCAAGGAAACATGAAGGACTATGGGTGATTTATTTTGAGAAGAGAATTCTGTACAACTTTGGAGAATTTTAAAGGGGGAAAAATAGTTACTTCTGTAATTTTCTTTTGGCTAAACTGATACGGTAAGGGCTTAATGTGCCCAAAGCCCTTTGCTGTGCTTGGAATCGCAGAGGACTGGGGGCTGAAAAAGATACTGGAGCCGGACTGCTGCAGTGTCAGATTCTGAGACTGTCTTGGGCAGGCTGCAGAGTGCAAATGGATAGAAGAGCTAATACATTGATTGCCAAACATGCTACACTTGTGTTGGATCATACGAAAGAGCTACACATTCCCTGTCTCACCACAGCTACCTCTCCTGTGGATTTGTACAGATAATATGTCTGTGTTTTACACAGACACCTTTATATGTACTTGATAATTCTGACAGTATTACTACCTCTTGTGAGAAAAGCCTTCAGAAGAATTAAGGGTTGTCTACGTGCATGTGATACTATTCAAGCACACAATAAAACAAAATATTTCTATAATGGAATCTCTAATTTAGATGGAGGTGGGGAAAAGCAACATTAAGAAGATCCCTGTTCTGTATCTTATAGATAAATTAACTTCCATTTGATCCCAAAATTGATGTTCATAACCACCAGCTGTATTTTCTTTCTTCTTGGTTGGGTTTGGAACACGATATTGTACCACAGCCCTTCGTGAGGTGAAAGTTGCCAATTTAAACTGATAAGCTGATGTGTCTATAGGTACAACTTCCAAGGCTACTTTGCTCACTTTTGTATATGTAAGGAAGAGAGTATTTAGATATTGCATCATATATTTTTTTTCTTCTTTTAAACATCAAACATATATTATCTCACAGATATTCTCAGAGTCAGGAATCCAGGAGTGTCTTGACTAGATGGTTCTAGTTGAGGGTCTGGTTGTCAAGCTGTCAGCCAGGGCTGTGGTTCACCTCCAGGCTTGACTGAGGATGGAGGACCTGTTTGCACGCTCACCCACACGCTCATTGGCAGGCATTAATTAGTTGCAGGAGGGTGGGTGGGGGCCACAGTGCCTCACTGGCTATTATCTGGAGGTTTCAACTCTTCACCATGCTGACCCTTCCTAGGATGTAATTTTTAAGGACTTTTTTTACATTATGTAATGATATCTGCTATGTATAAGTGACCCAACTTTGTTAGGTGTTTTTTTTGGTTGTTGTTGTTGCTGTTAAACCTCTTATTGAAATATTCCTTCAGACAGATACAAAAATAATAATTTTTCAGCCTGATGAATTTTCACAGAGTATGCACTCTTATTACCAACCCCCATAATCCACGATGTTTTTAGTGCCTCAGAAGTCCCTCTGATGGCCTCTCTACAACTACCCACACATCCTTCCTCCTGAGGGTAATTACTGTCCTGTCATTTGATTTTTAAGAATGCTTTTAGGAGTCCAGCTGTGGAAGGCCTATCCATGAGAACTTGAACTTCAAAGCCAGGGGAGAAGCAGCATGGAACACTGGTTCTTCAGTTTTGGGGTGACTTTGTTTGTTTAAGAATGTAATAGAAGCTGTGTGCTCTCTAGGGAGGTAAAGTATATATGTAAAAATTTG